GAGAGAGACAGAGAGACAGAAAGCAAGAAATCACCCCCACCCCCCAGGGGTGATGGCCACGCTGCAGTTCATTCTCCTTTCTCTTCTCAGGATCTTGGGCACGCACGCACATGTGCCTGGTGTGAGTTTAAGCCACTGGATCCAGGACTCGAACCACAGTCAATTACATGGGAGTCCAACAACATAGCCATTACACTACTGCTGGTATCCCCAGTGTGAGTTTCAAGCCACTGGGTCCAGGACTTGACTAGTTAAGAAATGTCAGGTCTAGGTCTGCAGGTGGCATAGTAGTTACATTGCTGAACTCTCACATGCCCAACTGCAGTTGTCTTGAAAATCATGCTGGGCATGTGTACACGTGTGCCCAAGACCCCAGGAGAAGAATGGAGGAGAAGGGATTGTGGCTGGCCGTCCTTTTTGGGGAATGGAGGCGTAATTTCTCACTTTCCCTCCCATTGTCTCTGTCTCTCTCTCTCACAGGTGAACACATGTGCCCTACAGCAAAAACCTCTTTAAAAAAAAGGAAAGAAAGAAGTGTTAGGTATAAATGTAGAAGATGCATTTTTTTCATTGAACTACAAATGGTTAATGGAAGTTAAGAAAAATCAGGGGAAAAATGTAAGGTTGTCACTTCCCCTTAGCTTTCTAAGGTCATTATTTAAAGCCAAAGCAGAGAAATAATGGAGAGAAATTACCATTTGATTTTTTTATATGTTTTGCCAGAAAAAAGTCAATTACTTATAAAATTTGTCATTTAAATCTTAAACTGTTACTAATTTTATCATTTAAATACTACATTAGAGTGATATATGTATATATTCTATCTACATCTGGAACGCTCCTGAGATAGTGATGAGTAAATGCTTTCTACAGCCTAGATTGTCTAGTAAGACAAATAATAAAATATAACTGCAGATATAATAAATTATTCAGTCAAATATTTTTTCAGGTTTTTTGCCATAGGGCACATGTGCTCGCAAGAGAGAGATGGTGAGAGAGAAAAGTGAAAAATAACCCTCTGTGGGGATGGCCATACCACAACCCCTTCTCCTCCATCCATTCTCCTCCTGGGATTTTGGGCACATATGGCTGGTGTGATTTTCAAGCCCCTGGGTCTAGGACTCAAACCATGGTCGGCCATGTAGAAGTCCAGTACCTTAACCACTATGCCATCTGTTGGCCCCAAATATTAAATTTTAAGATAATTATTTTTTTGGGGGGGAGAGAGGCTTTCGCTATAGGGCGCGTGCACTCGCCAGACAGACACAGAGAGACATAGAGACAGAAAGCAAGAAATCACCCCCCAGGGGGGATGGTCACGCCACAATCCCTTCTCCTCCATTCTCCTCTCGGGATTTTGGGCACGTATGTACACGCCCCCAGCGTGAGTTTTAAGCCACTGGGTCTGGGACACGAACTGCGGTCAACTAGGTGGGAGTCCAGCGACATAGCCATTATGCTACTGCTGGTTCCCAAGATAATAAAATTTGAAGAAACTTGTATCTAGAAAATTTATAGGCTGCTAAATCTCACTTGGATGATCATATCAACTTGGACTGAGTTACTGTGCTTGACTGAATACATTTGTATAGACCAGACTAATTTTGTCTATTATATTTCTAACATATTGCGTTAAGATGATATGAGATGCGTAAATTTCTCTTTGCCTCTTAAAGATAGGGAAGGAGGAACAAAAGAATCATAAAAACAAAACAAAACAAAAACTCCTAATTATGGCTAATTTGAAAGATTGGACTTGGGCCAGTAAGTCATGTAGTGGTTAAGGTGTTGGACTCCCACATGGTCAACATAGTTCAAGTCCTAGACCCACTAGCTTGAAACTCATGCCAAGCACATGTGTGTGCATCCCAAGAGGAGATTGGAAGAGAAGAGATTGTGGCGTGACCACCCCCCAGGGGATGATTTCTTCCTTTTTCTCTCTCTGTCTCTCCAGTGAGTACATATGTCTAATAGCAAAAATCTCTCAAAAGAAAAAAAAAAATAGATTAGCCTTATTGATGCTACTTTTTGATAACAGTAGATAACATTTATGTATAAGTTTTATCTCTTTTAACCCTTTTACCCATTCTGGTCAATATATACTTATATGTGTAGTTACACACACACACACACACACACACACACACACACACAATATGCCAATATATGCCACTATACATGGGGAAACTTACGTCTAAATGGGCTAAATTGCCCAAAAAAAGAAAAGAAAAAAGCAGGTCTTGATCTCAAGACATATCCATTACCAAACTAGTTTTTTAATCATGTTACCAGATAAACACATAGACTGTGTGTTTTTGCTCATTGCACAGTGAGCCAATTTCTGAGACAGAGGAAGTTTGTTATTAAGGGACATATCAACCAGGACAGCAGTTGAGGTCAAGACTCAAGTACCCTCCCTGATTAACAGACAAGCAGTGCTTTTCTTTTTTAGAGAGAGTTTTTTGCTATAGAGCTCATTTGCTCATCTGAGAGACAGAGACAGACAGTGAGAAATCAGCCCCCTCCCCCCCCCGGGAGGGTGGCCATGGCACAATCCCTTCTCCTTCATTCTCCTCTCAGGATTTTGGGCGTGCTTCCACACAAAACCAGTGTTGAGTTTTAAGCTGCTGGATCTAGGACTTGAACCACGATCGACTATGTGGGAGTCCAGCAACGTAACCATTATGCCATCTGCTGGTCCCTAAGGAGCGTTTTCAAACATGAATCAGGAATGTGACAAGGTGAAAGTGTGAGGACAGGAATCCAGGAGCTTTCCAGAGCAGTTTCTGTGATGTCATCTTTAATGGACAGTGCTGTTTTCTTGGTGCCAGGCAGTCTCGAGGAGGGTCCAGAGTGAGACGTTATGTCAGGTCTGTTCTGGGTGAAAAACAAGACAAAAAACCCTTGGGACACTTGGATCTTTTCAGTCCTTATATGCTTCTTGCTACTGTGTCTTTCTAAAGTTGAACAATTAAGGGTGTCATAGTGTGGTCACTTCAGGACCATAACCAGAGAGTGCAGGATTCTCTTAGGAGGGA